CGACGCTGTCCGGATCAACCAGCTGTACGAACAGGCCCGCTGGTCGGTGCTGCTGGAAGAGACCGAGTGCACGGAGGAAGAAATGATAGTCTTCGCTGCCTTACAAGTAACACGGCCTTCCCCACCCCCCACCCCAAAAAAATGTGCCATTTTAACAATAATTATCCCACGCCTTAGGGGTGGAAAACTTCCAATGGGTCTAAGCATGATGTGTGCTCTCTCCTAGTATCGCATCAACCAGCTGTCCCTCAACGCCACCCCTGCGGAGCAGTCCAGCGAATCAGGCCTGGATGACTTAGAAAAAGCTCTGGCTAACTTGGAGGTCAAGCTGGAAGGGCCGGACTCAACTCTGAATGTTTTGGTAAGGACCAAGTTTTCAACGACGCAACCATAACGAGGTCCAAACTTTATGTTGCTAAGCGAGACAGTTGTTCAGTGAGCTTTGCCACATTTCCCCCACCTTCCTTGTCACGGTTGTTAAGTGAATCGCCGCAGCTGTTAACATGGTTGTTTAAGCGAATCTGGCTTCCCCGTTGAATTTCCCGGTCAGGAGGTTGCAAAAGGGGACCTTGCGACAGTCGTAAAGGTGAATCAGTGGCCAAGCCTCTGAATTTTGATCGCATGAGACGTGACCATGGGGATGCTGCAACCGTCGTAACTGTGAGTTCGGTTGCCAAGCGTCTGAATTTTGATCCGTGACCATGGGGATGCTGCAATGGTCGTAAGTGTGAAAAACAGACACAAGTCCCTTTTCTCAGTGTCGTCGTAACTTTGAAGAGTCACTAAATGGATTTCATTTGCCTATTTTGAGATTGCCCCTCTTCTTGCCCCTCGGGCTATGCGGGAGAAATCCGGTTCAATCCATCGGTTCAGTGGAGGTTGGCGATTGAAACACGTAAGGGAATATTGCTCCCACCCCCTTGAGTCCGGCAGCAGTTCCATAGGCGGAAGCCTATGGTGAGGTACTAACATTTAGTACTCTAAGGAGCCCCAGAACTGAGGTAACAGAATGTCAAGCAAGTGGCAGTTGGAACAGAGTTCTTTTCAGGTGGGGAGGGGGAGTAGAACTCCTTAGCATCAGAGCGTGTTAATTATTGTATAAGAAATGTTAATGATCTGATGGTCATTTTGAAAAATACTTTCTTAGCCAAGAGGAATGTATGTGCCAAATTCCAAGTTTGTAGGCTTTACGGTTCTGGAGATTTCGTGATGAGTGTTTTGGCTTTTATATAGATAGATTCTGTGAGTTGAAGTCCACACTGTCAACTTGTAAATAGCAATAGCAATAGCAATAGCAGTTAGACTTATATACCGCTTCATAGGGCTTTCAGCCCTCTCTAAGCGGTTTACAGAGTCAGCATATC